GCATATATACATATAACTATTTTAAATTATTAATAAAGATATAAGCAAGGCCTCATCTTAATACCAAAAAAAAAATTATGAAGCAGATATTATCATTATTGATACATTATTTTGAAAATCAGGTCCTTTGAAAATAGTTATATAGCCCCATAGTATGTGTGCATCTTATTATGGCGTTATCATTTAGGTATGGATTGAATAACTTTATATGTAGTTTATTTACCTTCAATAAGTGCATATTCATGCACTCTTCTCAACAATGTGCATTTATGAAATATTGAATATATCAGATTTAAATTACAATCCTTATTTTAAAATAATGCGCACAATTAATTAATTTGTAGGTTAGTATTATTTTCATGCTTATACATACATATTTGTTTAAACATGAAAATATAGACTATAAGCCAGTTGCAAATCCTCTATATTTATTGGATATATACTAATAACCATAGCAAATTTGAAAAGTGCAGTAATAACAATTATTTAATTATAAAAATTATAATATTCTCTATTTCTTTTAATAAAAAGAAGTTCATTGACTGTATCAGGTTTAAGCCAGCTTCTTTTGGTCATTATTTGCTTATCTGCATCACTAAAAAACGTTCACTAGGAACAGATGTTGCTGGAATTCCTAAATATTTTTGAGATATTTTAAAAAGAATAAGAAAATCTTTCTTATTATCTTTTCAATATTTAAATAGATCAACATCACTATTAGCTTGTGATGTCTAAAATCTATCAAGGTAAAAATCAATTTCATCCTTATTAATAATCTTTTCTTCTTCTTCAAACAGATGTAATTTAAAATTGTTATTTGTTTTTACTTTACACCCTTTAAGATGATATCTATTTTTATTGTTAGACTTATAACTATTATTTAGAAGTTCCTCGTCTTTAAAAAAAATGTATTCAGATTATAATAAAGTGATTGCTCTTTCTTTTTCTTCTTCTAACCATTCTTTTATTTTTTTGAATCTAGGATCCAAAATACTTGCAAGTAAGACTGAATTTGGCAAAGAATCAAAATAATTACAGAGAGCATCATAAAGTGTATTTTTGACCAAATTAATAATTTTAGTAATATTTGGTCTATTAATGCTATTATCGGCTTCCTTCTCAGTTTTCTCTTTAGTTTCTTTCTCAGTTTCTTTCTCAGTTTCTTCTCTAATTTTTTCTTTCTTCTGATCTAATTCTTCTCTCATTGACTCAATTTTCATTATTTTTAATTATTATAAAATAACATATTATTAATAAACAACTTATAGCACTTTTCAAATTAGTATGACCTTGACAATTATTTATTACCCGATGCAAATTTTCTAATAGTCTGGCATATAACTATATATATATTTTTTTTTCCTTCACTTAAGCAGTCTTGCTGGTCACCTTTATTATGTATTTTTGTACTACATATATACAAATTAGTTCATAAATTCTGGTCCAACATCCTGTGGGTGCTTCTATAAGTTCCTACAAGTGATCTGACTGCACTGACTATCTAATTTCAAAAGAAATTAGAGTATGTCAGGGGCTGCACTGCACTGACAACTGCTCTACAATAGGATATTGCCAATCTGATAATATCTTCTTATAGAGAAGTGAACAAAAACAAAAAAAACTTATATATGAAAAAAAACACAGAGGTATAGAGGTAGACAATAAAAGATACAAATGCAAGAAATAAAAGATGGAAAAGAAAAAATAAGAAACAAAAAAAAAGATATGTGCGACTCTCACCACACAACTATCAGATGGTCACAATTATAAGCCTGTGTCAGGCTTTTAAAAATTATAAACTATACTAAATAGAAAT